GGTGGTGGGGGGCTACCCCCAGGGGTATTTAACAGTGGGGGGAGGGTGATGGGGACACATGGAGGGGGTGATAAAGCACCTCATCTCTTCGCCTGCTCCCCATGTCTCTTTTGGTGGGGCAGTTGGGATGAGGTGGGCACTTCCACATCCCAGGTCGTGTGTGTGTGTCCAGCACTCCCCAAACAAAGCACAAGTCGGGAGGTCCTGGTACTTCACAAAGTTTATTGGGGGTGGGGGGAACCCCTTGATGGGGCCTCCAGGGTGGGCCCCACTGCTCTTCCCCTCGTACTTGGCCCTTGAGGTTTCGGAATTTGCGCCCTGCCAACTTGGCCTTGTCTCCCAGCACCTCTTGGATCCTGGAATGGACAAGACCTCAGTGGGGTGACATGGGAGTAATCCAGGGGTCACGAAATGGGGCGACTTTGCGGAAGAGGGGGCCACATGGGGGACACACAGGGACAAGAACGCTCCTGGGAGGGACACAGGGATGGGCTTGGGCACCCTACCCAGGTCCCTGTGGGGGAGGTGGGGACATAGAGGCAGCCAGGACCCCTGGGGACATGTGGAGACAAGGGGACACACAGAGATTTGGGGACAAGGGAGGGGACACAGATATGTGGAGACCCCTCACCTCATCAGCTGGTTGTACTTGGCAAAGTGCTTGGAGCAACAACAGGGAGCACCCGTCTTGATCTGGGGGATGGGGGACAATGAAGGCTGTCATGGAGGAAACAGGGAGGGTGACAGAGGTTGCAGGGACTCCCCTGGCCAGTCCAGACCCCACAACGAGGTCAGTGATGAAGGTGTCCTCAGTCTTACCCTAGCGGTGCATTACCATGACCCCCCAGCCATGGCTCTGGGCCAGCTTGCACCTGTGGGGGTACACAGGAGGGGTCATGGGAGGTGACATGGGGACATGAGCTTGCACAAGGGTTGTGCATGAGGTTTTCACACAAGGGCTTTGCACTTCATGGCCACAGTGATGAGGGGCGTTTGCACCTTTTGTGAAGAGGCCTCGCCTCTTACAACAGTCGGCATGAGGCCTCTTTGCAAGGAGCCTTTTCCCAAGGCTTTGCACAAGGATTTGGCCATACACTCGCACCTGGGTGGACGCAGTGACCTGCGGGGCTTCCACAGAGATTTGCAGGAGGGTTTGCACAGACTCAGCCTGGATGGCTTCAGCGGTGGGGATTTGCACGTGTACTCACACCTAGATGGAATACGTAATGAGTGGGTTATACAGGGATTTGGCAGGGCGTGGAGTCACACGACGATCACACCTGCATGGGCTCAGTGCTGGGCATTTGCATGGGGAGCTGCACAAGGATTCAGAGGACTCTCACCTGGGTGGACATGGTGATGCGATCTGGTTGACCTTGAGCAGGAGGCAGCTGCGTGCCTGCAACCTCGGCTGCCTGTGTGATGTGCTTCAGGATGTTGCTGTCAGGTCACTGCCCACCACCTGGATGTCCGCCTGTGTCAGGAACCACTTCCAGCCCCCCACGTTATTCTGGTCAGAGGGGTTCTCAGTTGACACCACTGTGGGGAAATGGCCACCAGCAGGTATTAGAGTGCACCAATGTGGCCCAGTCACCTGGTGGGAAGGGAGAGGGCCCTGGGCACAGCCTTGTATGAGCTATTAGAGTCCCTGGCTGCCTACCCTGTGCTTCCCAATTACCCCCAGTCTGTTCCAGTTCATCCCAATGCCCTGCGGTGCCTCCCAGTCCTCAGTGTCACTCTCCTGCTTCCCAGTGCCTCCCAGTTCCACCCAAGTCCCTCTCAGTGCCCACCCAGTTTCATGCCAGTGCTCACTGGCATAGTCTTTGATGAAGCTCTCGTAGAGCTGTCCCTGGGTGATGAGGGTGCTTGGGATGCAGGGGGGGGGATTTGAAGTCCAGGTTCTATTTGCCATCACAGCAGAACTCAGCAGCTGCTATGTCCATGCCAATGACCACCTTGTCCAGGTACCCAGCCTTCTCAATGGCTGCTTTCAGAAGCTCCAGTGCTGCAATCTTGTGGATGGACATGGCTGTGGGGTAGGGGACCCAGGAGTCAAGGCCAAAGTCATGGGGGTCCCAGCCTGACCCTGGTCTCCACAGACACACCCCCCCAGCTGCTGTGGGGGAAACCCCCATGTCCAAGTGCTCTGATGTGGCCCTCTGTGCCCCCATGGAGGATCGTGAATGATCCCAGACTCCCCTCCCCACTACTCAGGACATTCAAAGGGGTGCAGGGTGGGTCTGGGCCCTTCTCACCCAGTGCTGCCTTTTCGTGGGACCCTGCCCCTCTCCCACAGGTGTCCCACAGGATTATTTATCCCTTTCCCTTCGCCCCTCCCCGCTGGAGGGAACGTGATCAAGTTCAGACCCCGCTGGGGCAAACGAGGTGGGGCCACAAGTGCTCGAGGCTGGTGGCACTTGACGACGGTCCCTACGTGTCCCCCCCGGTTTGAGACTATTTTTAGCCCCTCTCGAAGGTCACGAGAACACGACCCCCAACCGGGGGGGGCTAGTACGCCACCTGAAGGTTCTGGGGGGAGCAGCACCAGCCAGAAGGGGAGGGGGTGAATTGGGTGGGATAGGATTTTGGGGGTGCAGAAGGTCCAGAGCGGGGAGTTCAGCCCCTAAGGAGCACCAGGGGTGGGGAAAATCAGCCCCATGGGCTCCAGAGCGTGGGGGAGGGGCGGTGGCTTCGATAACTTCCCGTGGAAGTTCCCGCCGGG